ACCTTGTGATCCACCCGCCTCGGCCTCCCAAAGTGCTGGGATTACGTTTTCTTTTCTTTTTTTTTTTTGAGATGGAGTCTCGCTCTGTTGCCCAGGATGGAGTGTAGTGGCATAATCTCGGCTCAGTGCAACCTCCGCCTCCTGGGTTCAAATGATTCTCCTGCCTGAGCCTCCTCCTAAATAGCTGAGATTACAGGTGCCCACAACCATGCCTGGCTAATTTTTCTACTTTTTAGTAGAGATGGGGTTTCACTATGTTGGTCAGGCTGGTCTCGAACTCCTGGCCTCAAGTGATCTGCCCACATTGGCCTCCCAAAGTGCTGGGATTACAGCGTGAGCCACAGTGCCTGGCCTGGGCCAGGTTTTATAAGCATAAAGTAATGAGATGTGATCTGATTGGATCTTGCAGTGAGGTGATGCTGGGAGGTATGATTTGATTGGATCCTGCCATGGGGTGATGATAATGATTAGATCTTGGATCCTGCCATGTGGTGTCCCCTTCTTAATTCATTCCCCACTCCTCAGTCAGAGCACTTAGGTTCCTGTTGTGGTTGCAGACTCGGTTCATCTGGGCATGTTCAGGTTAGGTGACCTTCAAACTGGAGGCCCATGGTAACTGAAAAACAACTCACAACTTTGTTAACATAAAAGTTGAACCAGGTTGGTGTGATGTGGTTACAAAATAGCTACTAAGTCTGAGGGTAATATACTGGCTCAATACTTCTCTATCCTAAGTTGGAAACTATGGTCAATTTTGATGAAGAAATTATTAGCTATTTCCCTACTTCAATTTTGCCATACCAAAGCATATGAACTTGATAAACCTTGTAGTGTCTTACAAGGTTTTAATCTTTTCATCTGTAAAAAGGTTGGATTGAATCAAATTATTCTTTCTCTTTGTTAATGCAGATAATATTTTATTTCTGAAGGCACGAGTATGATCTATTACATTAAAAATTTTTAATGTGTCCAATATATTATAAAAAATAAAGACAGGGGTCTTGCTATGGTTGCCCAGGCCGGTCTTGAACTCCTGGCCTCAAGTGATCCTCCCACTTTGACTTCCCAAAGTGTTGAGGTAACAGGTATGAGCCATCATTCCTGCCTATATCCAATATTTTTTAGTGCTTCTTGAGACATATCTGTGTTAGGAACTGAGATGAAATTAAAGACATACAAGATAGAGTTTTTGCTTACAGTGTTATGGTGGAAACAAACAAACAGAATTATTATTTTGTAGAATTAATAGTCCAGGAAAGAGCAGTTTTCAGGAGTGGTATGACCACAGCTCAACCATATCTTCAAGGGTTTTCTATCTGTCTGCCATCCCCAGTAGGTTGACTTCATTTTCAGGTTAATTCCTCTTGCAAGATTGCTGCCAATGGCAATCTGGGTTACAGGTTGACTTGCTCATATCTGGCAGGAAAGAGAGAACTCCTTCCCCCAGGTATGGACTGAAAATCCTTTCCTTCGGTCTGATTGGGCCAGTTTGTCCTGGTCCTAATGGTTTTCAAGTATATTAATTAGAATAGTCTAGGACTATTCTAATTCTAGCATATTCTAGTCTAGCATAACCTAGATGCTAGGTCATACTGCAGTGAAAAATACCCCCAAATCTCAGTGGCTTAAACTACAAAGGTGTATTTCTTATTAAAACCAGATGAAAATGGGAGGCAGGCTGCTCTACCTTGTCCTTTATTTTTTGGAACTTAAGCCGAGAGAGGCTTTACCAATACTCTCAAGATAATACTGGTCTTGAGTCTGGGGAAGAGTAAACATTGTAAGGACTTATGCTGGCAATGAACTGTTCTACCTGGAATTGACACATACCACTTCTACCCACAACTCACTACAGACTGGTGGCTATAGCTAGTCAGTCACATGGTCCAGCCCAACTGCAAGGGGAGGGGGGTATCTGGGGTGGGTGTGAAAAAATGTAATCTTTTTGTATGTCTGGAAGGAGAGAGTAAGCATGATAAATCTCCTACCATATTAGGGAATCCATTTACTGGCTAATTGAGTTGCCCTTCTGTAGTTGGAGTTTGGGTGGTTACATAAAAAATTGGCTAATGAAAACAAAAATAAAGAGCCTTATTAATAAGGAAGGACAAGAGTGAATGTTGAATAAGAAATCAATAGTGTGAACTATATGCTGCTTTATCCCAATGAAGAAGACAGAAATTTCAGCCATGGAGGCAAGTCATAGGGAGGCATAGTCTGGCTAGTTTCATCAGTCTTTAAATCAATTACTTCATTTACTCTTCTAATGGGAAAGATTTGCTCTGGCTTTTTAATGATTAGGTATAAAGTTTGTTTAAGGAGCTGGCTCAAAAGTGACTTAAAACACATTGAATTTGAAAATACAGATTCTTAGCTACTCAGGAGGCTGAGGTGAGAGTACAGCTTGAGGCCAGGAGTTCAAGACCAGCCTTGGCAACATTCTGCGACTTTGTCTCTAAAAAACAAAAATGAAAATATAGACTTCCCCCCCATATTTCATTTTTGTAGTTATTGTCAATGGTGTGTCAGGTTGGCTAGATTTGTAGTTTTAGAACTGATGAACAACTAAAACTTACCTAGTCCAACCCTTTTATTTTACAAATGAGAAAACTGAGGCCCAGATGGGTAAAATGATTATCTCAAGGTCACCCCTTCTTGCTCTTGGCAATAACAATGCTGACCTTTGGATGACTTCCTGGAAAATCGGATCCTATAAGTGAAGTGTAGCTAGAGCAACAATTATAAAACAATGAGAACAATTAACAATTATTCAGAATGCTTCCATGGCTGACAGTCAGTTGGTACACATTGGTAGAGATAGAAAAATTTCTAAACTATGTGGTAAGTAGCTTATGCTAAGCCTTCTGAGTGCCTCAGCCCCTTGCTGGAACTCCACAGATCTCCCCACCGTAATAATAGGATCCACCTCAAAGGTTTGATTTGAGAATTAAACGGTAGAGGTAAAGAGTTTTGCATGGGGCCTGGTGCTCAGCACTATTACACTTTGGCTATTATTTTTATTACAGTCATAATAAAATGGTAGTAAATTTCAAACCAGTTTCTACATGAATGTTCACAACTTAGGAAATGTGATAGCATTCAATTTCATTAACTTTGATCTAGCTAATCTCTCAATAAAATGGCCACTCATGTGCTCACTTTAACTTTCATTTTGATCTTTTCCATTGTCTAAGGGTTGACTCCTTCTTGCCCCACACCCAAGTCCACATAGCTCTAGCTGATGGGTAAGAATTTGACTGAGGCTATGTAAAAGAGAACAATGCACTGACAAGGCCTTGTTAGTTCTCAGTATAACAGATCATAAAGATTATTCTGTCTAATCTTTTGTTGAACAGAACTTGTCTTTAACTTTTGGGATAAGCAAAGATGGGTCCAAAACCTAGTTTGGTGAGGGAGGGGTGGAGTAAGAGGTGGAGTACCTATACTTACTTAATCTAATATCACAAACTGGGAGTGATGAGCAGCAGAGGCAAGCAGTTGGGAGAAGAGAATAAGAGAGCCCAGCAACAGTGGGGGACCTGCAGCTTGTGGAAAAACGCTTTTGACACAGACACTTTCTGATGGCCAGTGATGTTTAGAACCTTTTGGGGGATTCCTTCTCTCTCAGAATTTAACCTGGCAAGAGAAAGACTGAGTTCTAGGAATTTTCTTCTCTGGAGAGAGTAAAATAAATGCATTTTTAAAAAGCTGGGACTGTTGTCCACACTGAGAAGAGGCAGGGTAATCATACCTTTTATAAGTGAATTTCCTGGAAATTCATGATTGGCTTGGAACTTAATGTGTAAAGACTTGCTCTCAGATATCAGTTGCTTGACAGAGATCTCCAGTTTTGGGATAGCAGCTAAATCCTGAGCCTGCCTTGGAAAGGGTTTTGATAATAATGTTCCGTCACAGGTGGAGAAGCATACTGATTCAACAAAGCAGACTTCAAAATCACTGAAGAATTAGTTTCTGAGTGTATTCAAGAGATACCAAATTATTTGTTATTTATTTATTTATTTTTTTTGAGACGGAGTTTCACTCTTGTTGCCCAGGCTGGAGTGCAATGGTGCGATCTCGGCTCACCGCAACCTCCACCTCCCTGGTTCAAGCGATTCTCCTGCCTCAGCTTCCCGGGTAGCTGTGATTACAGGCACCCGCCACCACACCCAGCTAATTTTTGTATTTTTAGTAGAGATGGAGTCTTGCCATGTTGGCCAGGCTGGTCTTGAACTCCTGACTTCTGGTGATCCACCCGCCTTAGCCTCCCAAAGTGCTGGGGATTACAGGCATGAGCCACTGGGCCCGGCCCAAAGTTATTTGTTATTTTAACATACACTATACTGCTCTATACAAATGCAGCAAATCCTGGGCAAAACATTCCTAGGTTTTTTTGTTTTTTTGTTTTTTTTTCCCAATTGTAAGCAGGTAGGGAAAATAAGTGCTTTAATTCCTAGGATTTTGGAAGTAAAAATGGAAGGCCAGACAAAAATGGAATTTTGAGGCAAATGTAAAGCTTTGAACTTGGATATCTCAAAGTATTATACAGTGTAAACTATCATGATTATTAACCAACTGTAAATAGTTCTTTTCTTTTTTAAAATTTTATTTTTAATTTTAGAGATAAGGGTCTTGCTATGTTGTCCAGGCTGGAGTGCAGTGGCTACTGACAGGCATGATGTGGCACTGCAGCCTGGAACTCTTGGGCTTAAGTGATCCTTCCTGCTACTTCTATCTTAGAAAAAAAAAAAAAGTTACGCTTGCTTGTTAAAATATTTTTAAAATGCTGTGTTTAAACTAAAACGTAAATAACCACCCCACCTCTGACTTCTAAAAATTATCTAGAGTATGACTGATAAGATTTTTACCTTTAATCCCACATAAGCCTAACATTTGTGTTCATTTCCAACAACCAAAGTGTGTCACTTTTATACCAGAATTTTGTCCTTCTTGTACGCTTACTACAGACCTCTCATGGGAGAGAGCATCCATGCATTTATAAATTGTTATTGAATAATTTTATTGAATGATGACACCCAAACTGAGCTAGAACATCTTTTGTGTGATCTTGGATAAGTCACTCTACTTTCCTTTCAATTTTCTTTTCTCACAGGGAGATAAAAATCATAAAAACGACTGTAAAGTACAGCACTTCATAGAGTGCTTTTTGTTTAAAGAGCTGACAATAAATACGAGTCACAGGGTCTAGCAAAACCTCCCTCAGAACCTGAGCTGCTTGAGGACAAGGGATTTTCTTGTTCGGAATCAGCAGTACCTTATTTGTGTATCTGTGATAGAGTTCCTGGTACATAAGAAGATAGAGTTCCTGGTACATATTCTCAAAAAATATGTGAATTTATTGACTATTAGGCAGATTGCAATCTTGACAGGCCACTGCCTCTTAAATCTCTTTTCTGTGATCTTTTAATATTTAACATCTAAAAGGCCGCCGCTACTTGTTTTGGGATAAGTGTCCCCGGTACGTACTTTAAAATGCCCAAGCCTTGAGAAATGATTCTTGTCTTCAGGGCACCATTTCGCTTTCCCACCGTAAAGCGCCCCAGGCTTGGGATCTGGGTCCCAAGGCTACAGGGAAGAGTTTGGAACGGGAAGCTCATCTTCCGGCCCTCTGATTGGCCGGCTCGCACTCCACTCACGCGGCGCGCGGCTCTGATTGGCCTCGGCGGCACCCCTCGGCCCGCGACTACTTTGTGTGCTGGGGCGGCGCGCTCAGGTCCTCCCGCTCAGCTGGCGGTCTGGGCTGCTCTGAGGCAGCCCTTCGGCCCACTGCTCTGCATCGCGGGCGCCGGGAATTTTCCGAGTCCGAGCGGGTAGGACACATCCTAGGGCAAAGCCTCTCCCCTCTCCCCGTGCTGTTCTCTTTCCCATACTGAATAAACTTCCGCCTCAGAGGGACTGTCGCAGCCGCGGGTCGGGAGAGGCCGGGCATCGAACTCAGGCCCTCGTGGGGGGGCGGTCTTTCTCTTAGAGTGAATGTGGAAACAGCTCTCACAAGATAAAGTAGGGCTTCGCTGAGTCTCCTGGGGGAGCGATGCCATTGTAGGATCGCGCTGGAAGCTGCAGCCAAGCGGCCAAACGCGGGCTGCAGGGGCTGAGCAGCAGCAGCTCCCACCCCTAAAGTAGCAAGGAGCCAGCTTCAAAACCTCTAGTGCGGGTGCCCCCTAGGGCAGCCGACTGAGCTGGCACGGGCCGGTCCGTTCCCAGCGCTGTAGGGAGCACAGCATTCTCAGGAGGCGGCTCTCCTCCCGGGATCCGGGAGCCGCTCGCGCCCCGCTCAGCCTCCGGCCTTCAGGCGGTAGAGGGCGGCCTACGCCTGTGTGCGAGCCGGCGCCCGCGTGCGCAGCCGCTGCCCTGCTGGAACTGTGCCGTCCCGCTGTGGCCCGCGGCTCTGCTAGGCGGTGGATGCTGCTGCTACGCTCTCCACGGGTGCAGCGAGGAAGGGGGCGGGGAGAAGCCCTGGCACATGCCAGGGTCGCCGTAGGTGGCAGCGGCCGGCGCATGCGCGCCCTCTCCCAGAAGCCAGGAACGCCGAGGGGCGCGCGCCCCCATTCGCGCGCGCACGCCGGCGCTGGCCGAGGCTTCCCCGCCTGCGCTCGTTGTCAGAGCCGCTCCGGCGCGTGCGCGCGTTATCTCCGGCCGACCGGAGGAGCCGGTTCCCTCCGCTCCAGGCCCCCTCCCCATCCCGCCCCCTCCTCCCGGCCCCAGTCGACCCGTCCCTTCGTCTCCCCGCGGAATGGGGCCGGCACTATTTGGGGTCGCGCGCCCTGGACCCGGCTCGCTCTCGGTCTCGCGCTGTCAGCGATTGCCCGGCTCGCGCCGCCTCGCGCTCTGCCTCAGTCAGTGGCGCCGAAGGCTCCGTTAAGCGGCGGCGGCGGTTCCTGTTTCCGTTTCTTCCTCTCTGTTCAGTCGGGAGTAGCATCCTCCACCCAGCCACCCTTACCACTCCCCCAGCGTGGGGCAGCTGCAACTGAGGGCTGTGGCTTTGGCAGCTGCGACGGGGAACGGCGAAGACCGCCTCTGCTCCCGCCTCGGGTAAGGGGGCGTTTTGGGAGCCGGGCCCCGCGCGCCTCGGGGTCTTGGGCTGGGCTGCGCGCGGGATCTGAGGAGGCTCCGCGGCTGTCCCTGCTCGTTTCCCCAGGCGACCCCCGGGCCTGTTGCTGCAACTGCTGCCGGTTAACCAGCGGCTTTCGGAAAAGTGGGGAGGGAGCCCCCAGGACGCTCTGGCGGATGCCTTGGCGCAGCCCCGGGGGCGCAGGCAGAGGGTGAGGGGCGCTTGCCTCTCCAGCCGGGACGCGGAGCTGCGGCGCCGCTGCCCTCGGCGTCGCGCATCCTTGCCTAGGGCAGGGGCCAAAACCTAGAGGAGGAGAAGGGATGGGGGCGGGGGTGGGAGGTGTTCGTCGTCTCCCCTCCACACCTATCTCACGTTCGCCAGCAGCTCGGTCCCTGGAGTCGCGGTCTGTGGGGAGGAAGATGCCCGTGCGTTATGGGCTCTCTGAGTGCTGCTTGGGCTAGAAAGCAGGGAGTGGACCCGCACAAAGATCCGCGAGGGACCGTGCTGGGCAGTTAAAGGCTTGAGTGCAGCTGTACTCCCTTTTGATGTGCAAATGACGAGCTGGCGGCTTTTGAGTGTCTAAACTTATTTGGGAAGGTTAAATGAGTCCGTATTTATCCGTTTTCGGAGGTTTGTCCTGCAGGATTGAGTGGGTTGTCGGGTGCAGCACCTGTTCTTTCTTCACAGTGGGGATTGCAATCTTCAGAGACGCAGTGTATTTCTTAAGTTAAGTGGCAGTGTCATGCTTAGGGTTTGTCCCTGATGAGCTTTTATTTTAGCGTTTTGCAGTTTAATATAGATTGAGGCCTTGGTTAAAGGCACGGAGAGGTGGTGGTTTTTTCCTTCCTGTGTTTGAATTATTTACAGTTTATTTAAACCCACTCAGGAAGGTGGACCCAGAAAAGCCAAATTCTCCAGTAGATAACCCCAAATTTCAAGGTTTTGCGGAACAAATTCAACACAACTTTTGTGTCAGTTTAGAGTTAAACGCATCTGAAGTAACTGACTTAACTGACTTGCCTCTGAAAACTGTTGGCAGGTTTCATTATAGTTTTTTTTTCTTGTTATTCCTGCCGTTAGGTGAATATTTATTTTCTTGATTAAATTTACATTCCATGTTTTATGGCTAATTCTTTAAATAGGTGCATCATATATAAAGTATTTTAGGAGAGAAATTACTATTTAACCACTACAGTATATCAGATATATAAGAAATAATAGAGTTGTAGTCTTTGCTCTTTAAAATAGCTGTAAAAACATCTTAAAACCCTATGCCAAATAATAAGGCCTTGTACATTGCTGTCCTTGTGAGATCTGCTATGTGTATAGAAAATCTTAATTACTTGATTTATAAATATTACAGTACTAGTGAGAAGGTGGGAATTCAAGCATTTGTAATTGTGATTTTACAGGTTCATTGTGTAAAAAATGCCGGGAGTTAGAGATGAATAGGCTATAAGGAACATACAAAGGTAGTTCCAAGACATGGATTTTCTTTTTGCTGCTTTATAAATTGAGAATTCTATTTGAATTCAAGAGCTGAACAGCTGGAATGAAACTTGCATGGATTGCAGAAACATGCAAAAACGTATCTTTGGTCAAGTTGTGAATTAACTTGAAGAGTATCTTGTTTAATAGGATAGTGATTCAAAATAATTTCCATAAAATATGACATTATATAGGTTATATTTTGAGGATATTTTTGAATTTAACTAGAAAGTCACCTGGAGTTGTTTTCCTACAAATCAGTTCTGTTTAAGATGTATAGAATTGAAAAAAAAAAAAAAAACAGTAATTCTGATTACATCCTGCATTGTTTTGTTGCAAATTCTTACCAGTTATTTTGACGAAATTAGAGTGTCCTTAAAAGTGGTGAATCTTAAAATTTGCTGGTGAATTGGAAAAGCTTGTTACTTATTATTTTTTAAAATGCAGTTATATTAGTACGTTGGTCTGGAGGGGGAGCTAGTGCCAAAGCAAAGTATAGTTTAATAGCTGTTTGAACTTTTAAAACACCTAAAACCAGATTTTTATGACCAAGAGAAACATAAATTTTTAATTAAAAGAGTAAGACATTGATGTGGGCATATATATGTATATAGTTATTTGTGGAGTGAATATATTTTGTATTACAAATTAGTTTAAAAAATCTTTTCATGAGCCGCAATAATGGAAAGCTGAATGCTGAAAGATTTATTGGATTTCTCATTTAAAAATCTCTAAAATGTATCCCCAAACTTAGAGTATGTTATGGTATTTTCTTAACCTTCTTGTGCTATTCATCAGAAGAGAAGACATGTATTCTTGACCCATTGTGCGTGTTGTGTGTTCTTAAATTTTGTTTTTATAATAGCTGTAATCCTAAAATTTCAAAAACAAAGCTTTAAGTAGAATCTTATGTGGGCGAAGGTATTAATTGTGTGGTAAGCTAGGTATTTATCAAAAGTAGATATAATTCCTTTTTTTTTTTTTTTAAAGTAGAGATAACTCCAATAAAAAAAATGGACCCTTTAGACATCTGGAGAACAGTATCCCCAGGTCACTTAACCCTTATCTCCTGCAATATAATGCAGTGAGTCCAGCTGATCTACCAAATTGAATGTGTGCCTTTGAATATGAAGCAGTTGTTTTGTGGCCTGTGGCATTTCATTTAGATTTCTAAATTGTAATAAATTAGGTATGTTAATTTACTTCTGACCGTTCAGGTGTTCTTTAAATCCAAGCCTAGAAACTGATAATCATATGTATATTAAAATCATTGGAATATTAGTTTTTTTGCAGATAGTGTTTGGGCTGTTTGTTATCAATAGCTCTTCATTATGTAAATAGAATCTCAAGGCTGATAAAGTAAATAGACTCTTCCATTTCATTAATGGTTATTTTTGATTTATGATAATCTACATTTAAATCTCTTGATTTAGTTAAATGGTGGATACATCATTTCGTATTATAGCACATTGATAAATGTAAAAGAAAGTTTTTACAATCGTGAGAGTAAATACTTAAAAAAACTTGAGTAGTTACTTTACTAAACATAAAACTAAGATTTTTAAACAACTCTGAAACTAAAAGTATTACTATTATGCTACCCTTTTTTTTTTCCAAAAGAGATGGGATCTTGCTATTTTGTCCAGGTTGACCGTGAACTCCTGGGCTCAAACAGTTCTGCCTCAGCCTCTTGAGTAGCTGGGACTATAGGCATGTGCTACCACATCCGGCTTTATTATAGTTTTTGTACCCTGCATCGATACTGCTTCTGTTGATCCTTTTTAAAGGAGGTATCAACTTCTGGTCTTCAACAGTAGTGTAGCATCCTCTTATTGATTCTCTGGCTTATATTTCACTACCATATAGTATAGAGTTTCTTTCTTGGGGTTTGAATTGTTTTCACATCGTAGCTTGTTATAGTGAAACAATTAAACATATTTAAAAGTAAAAGATATTTACAACTGATTTTTAAAGAACCTTTAAAAAAATCCCCAACAGAAGAATATTATATGGGTGCATGTAGATTTAAGATTTTATTTTCTTTAGTTTTTTTTTTTTTTTTTGAGATTGGGGTGGGGTGTTGTCTCACTGTGTTGCCCAGGCTAGAGTGCATTGGTGTGATCACAGCTCACTGCAACCTTGACCTCGCTGGTTCAAGCCATTCTCCCACCTTAGCCTCTGGAGTAGCTGGGACTAGAGTGCATGCCACCATGCCTGGGTAATTATTTTTTATTATTTGTAGAGACAAGACCTTGGTATGTTGCCCAGGTTTGTCTTGAACTCCTGGGGTCAAGTGATCCTCACACCTTGGCCTCCCAAAATGCTGGGATTACAGGCGTGAGTCACTGTACCTGGCCCCTTTATTTTATCAAAAAGATTTTTTTTTTTTTTTTTTTTAAAGTTTAAAACAGACAGGGTCTTGCCATGTTGTCCAGGCTGGTCTTGAACTGGCCTCAAGTGATCATCCCACCTTGGCCTCCCCCAGGCGTGAGCTACCATGCTTGGTCATAAGATTTTTAAAAAATTGATTAGTTTCAAATCCCAACTTTCTCTTCTCATTCTAATCTCCTGTCATTATTTCCTTTCCCCAGCTACCCACCATCATCCAACAGTCTTCCATTTGGAATAATGGGAAATCAAACCAATAAAATTAACCTTACCACCCACCAGGCAAAGGTTTTTCTTGATATCTACAATATTCTGAACATAAAACCCATATAAACTTTATATGATACTACACATTTTCCTTTTAATGGAGGAAGAGCAAATAGGACCTATGAATTATGCCATATTTGTCAATATAAGGCTTACTTTTGTACTCTTACTGAAAGCAGAGTTATAGGGCAAATTTCATTTTAAATTTTCATACCCATCTACTTAAAAAAAAGTATCTCTTTGTGGTAGTCTTTTTTTTGGTCAGAAAATGACAATGTGAAGGAGAAATATGTTTTGAATTTATAAATCTTCTTTTAATTGACAAATTATACCAAATATAACGGTAGTGCTAAGGTGGTTCAAATTTTGCCTTTGCTATTCTGCCTTTTCTTCTGTAGTCATTCTGTAGTATAACTTGTTCATCGAAGCACTGGAATAAAAGAAAAACTTTTAAAGATCACTACTGAAATGCTCACTGTATTTGTTGTATTTTATAACTTGGATTTTTAAAATTTATTTTTCCATAAACCAAATAAATATGAAAATGAACTTGAAAGATTTTGTTACAGCCTTGATGACTGGTCA